GGGGGGGGGGTCGGGGGGGGGGGGGGGGGGGGGGGAGGCTGGGGGAGGCTAGGAGGAGGCGGAGATGAATTGGTTTTTTATGTATATCACAGTTGCAAGCTCTGCTTCATTAACTACGTTGGTAAAAATTATTAAAAAGACGGAGAATAAAGTGTCGGTACTCTCTTTGCGCTGGCTCTTACTCGGCGGATTATTAGATACGCGTCGACGCGTTTACCGCTTATTGCGACTCTTCATGGTGAAGCGTCTCCAGAAATTGCCGCTCTTCTTCGTGGGCGTCGCGGTCGGCGTCTCGTACGCATAGCTGGACTCGTCGTCCGTGTCTTGGGCGCTCGGCGCCTCTCTGGTCGGCGAACCGCCGTGTCCCGAGTCTCTGTCGTCCGTCCCGTTCTTTTCCAGACCTGCAACGTGTGACATTCTTTCAAAACCAAAATCAGATGAGCATTGTGTCTTATAAGTTTAACGACAAAAATAATATGTCGGCGCGGACGAAAAGAACGATTCCTTACCACCGCCGCGCAGCATGTCGAGGAACGTGCTCTCGGCGTTGCCACGCGTGCGTCCCTGCTTCTGGGATGGCGTGCCGAAGCTCAGGCTCTGGATATTGATTTCCGCTTTTAGCTGTTCCGGCGGGATATCATCCACGCGGAACTCGTTCGGGTCCTCGACGAAAGCCTGCTGCAAATCGCGCATGATCTTCTTGCGTATGGTCTTTTTCATCGACAAGTGCCGCTCCAGGTGCTTCACGTCGCTCTCCGTCAGGGTCTTGCTGTTGTCGCGGCGGCGCGATTTCTTCTTCTTACTGTTCTTCGGGCTCTCCTCCTCGCCCGACGTGGAGCCCATCGATACGGCGCTGTCGTGCCCGGGCGCCTTCTCCTCCGCTTGGCCGCGTGTGTTGTCCCACTTGCTGCCGAATCCGAAGATGTCCCTCAGATGGGGGATGTTTCGATCCACGGTCTGTTGCCTCGCCATGGCGTCAACGCTTTGGATGGCAAGAATGGCTTTGGACGGCAAGAATCACTCTTGAGGCTTCCTTCTTCGAAAATCTATCGCTCTGAAACATTGCGGGGAATCTGATTGACGCATTGTCGAGATATCCATCATTTAACTGAACAATTTCAAATATAATTGATAGGAAGTATAGCAAAGTCAATGGTCTCTACAGTTAATCCGTTCGCATCAGAAGAGCATTTATTTGTCTGACCATTATCACGAGTTTCTCAAATCACGATTTCTCATTGAGGCTGGATCGAATCACAAAAATCATGTATAATAATGTAAAATAATCATATATAATCATGTAAAATAATGTAAAATATTTTATCTGTTTTATTACATTTGACGAGCTAAAGAGACGAATTCAGCGATATGGTCGTATTATTCAGTCTCCTAATGATGCGGAGACAGTTTAATAGCAACGTATCGGCGTTAATAACCCGTGCGAATTCCTCAAAGTAGCAGCTGTTTGCGCAAACGCTGACGCGCTCACGTCGCTCGTATATTTTAAATATTGTTTCGCAATATGCGCGTGTACGAAGTGGCGGCGATGGTAATGGTGATGACGTTTTATCTCGCGGAGTCGCGGCCGATCGGCCGTTCTCCAGTTTTCCGTCGTAGTCGAGGTACCGCCGGATCAGCGCGCTAACTTTTCCGGCTCGACGAGGAACTCGTTTACGCGCAGAAAAAAAGCTGCCGGATCGACGTATTGGGGATCGAATGTATTGTGAGTCAGCCGCAACCTGCGATCCAATGGAGCCCGCTTTTCGAGTAATCGAACTCGACTCTCGGCGAAACACCACCCGGCCATTTCGCACAGCCGGCCTGCCACAAGATCAGATAAAAAGCAGATGTCCCGGATACATCGGAATCAGGCAACAAGATACCTCAATTCTAACGGAGAATCTACATATTTAACAGAATTAACAGATAAGGAGAAACGTTCAGTAGTCGGCGCTCTACCTGCTTACGGCACTTTTGCGCGGACGTGGCCGCGTATTAAGATGTGGGAATTTATAAGAAAACGAATAAATAAATCATAAATAATAATTGATAATCAAGCAACAAGATACCTCAATTCTGACGAAGAATCTGCATATTAAATATAATAGATATAACAGATCTGCATATTAAATAGAAACAGATAGGGGAAAACGTCCAGTAGAACTCTACCTGACTTCGACACTCTTGCGCGAATGTTGCCGGGTATTAAGGTGCATGTGGTGATTTTAAGGGAAACTAATAAATAGATAATAAATAATACTTGATGAGCAATTAGTAGATAATTAATAAACACCTTGATATTTAATTTAATCCGAGTAAGGTTGCCAAAAACTGGTGAGTGCTGTAATGAGTGCACGACTACTGGGTGTTTTCTTTTATCTCAGTTTTGGGTTTCTCTCGTTTTTCAGGCGAACTCGATTGAATGATCGATGATATGAGCATGACGATGCAAATCTTTCGGTGACAGAATGACCGGTATCTTCCCTCCAGTATCTAGGGGGAGGGAGGGGGGAAAGATTCTAGAGCGCCGTAAGTTGGCCGGCAATGTCAGCGCCATAATTTCCAATGTTGCACGTGAGTCATTTAGTCGTTCATGGCCCTCGCGGCGTATCTCGGGAGTCACGCGCATGGACGTGCCCGTACATGTCGAGAGCAATCTCTCAGGTGTTCTAGCATTTCTGTACTCTCTTAAAATGAATCAGTAAAAATGTTTCTGGTCGAATCAGTAAAAGGAGCACTTCACCAATAATCAGTGAATATTCGCTATTTTTCAGCAGAGATATTCTCATTTTACTGCTTTACTTTATATTTCACTGACTTTGACCAGTGAGAGAAAGATTTCACTGCAAAATCTGTGGAACAAATAATAGAATACAGACAACCTCATTAAGAGACTGAACAACATGTCCATATCACTAAATTTGCTTTTTAGCTCATCAGATGTAACAAAACGAATAAAATACAGGTGATTTTTTTTTATTCGATCCACCCTTAATGAAAAGTCGCGACTTGAGAAACCCGTGACAACGGAAACGAACAGACATATGCTCTTCTGATGCGCACAGATTAATTACAGAGATAACAAATTTATATACTACCATGTCGTCATATACTGTATCAGATTCAACTTTCTAGTGATGGAATTACCGACCGCCATACGATTTGCATACAACGATACTATGTTTGCAAACTACATCAATAATAGGAACAGTCGCTACTGTCAAGTAATTTTTTCAGCGAGATTTTACTGATTGCAATGCTATGCTTATAACTGAATCACCAGTTACAAATGTAGCATTTCAGTGAAGAATACACTTGCATTGCACTCTAGAGAGTAATGTCCGCCCAATCACGCTCATGAAATCTCTCCTTCGTCCAAGGATAACACGCAACCCGCGACGACGGTGCTCAACGCTCTCGCGCTGACCACGAGGAAATACAATCGACCTTTTCAACCATTAATATTCCCAAATTGCCCGTTAATTTTCCAAGTTTCTCGAAACTGATCGCTCATATCGCAAGAGACCACAATCGCGGCGGTTAGGCAACGAGGAAACGACTCTTTCTCTCTGTCTCTCCACCTGGATAGTAACCTGCGCGCCGTCCCTCGCTCTCGCCCCGTCTGGTCCCTATCTGCCTGGCAACCAGAGCCGACTCGACGGTCGCTATACAAAACGATACGTACAGCGAGATATACCGGTCGCCACGCCGTGAACCAGAGACCTTTCACGTTTCCTGCACGCCGTCGTTGTTATCTAACGACGTGAGCGAGTGTTCGGTCAGCTGCTCCACTGGACCAGCGCGCGCGCGCGCGCGCGCGGTCTTATCCCCCGCCGTGTAAATGCATAATTATTATTATTATTGTCATTATTATTGCGGTATTTTATTGCGCTCCAGGATAATCTCGTTCGGGATAATTTGAAGAGACGTGCGGAATACACGGCGCAATAAAGCAACAATCGGGGCACAATGCAGCCGCCCACACGATGGTAAGAGCACGGTACAGCCGTAATATACCACGGCGACGACGGTACCGTAAACCGTCGGAACCTTCACGCATGGTAGAGCGAAGCGAGCCGCGCCGCGCCGGCCGGACAGGACGTGGAGAACGGGCACACGCGCGTGTATCGATTCGTGCTCTCCTGCTGGCGAGGAGGAGATCGAACGCGCCACGGCCGCGACGCGTACATTAATATTTGCGGCATATGATGTACAGTACACGCGCCCGCCCGAAGACACGGCGACGACAAGCCGACGTTCGGCTGACGTTCGGCCGACGGTTCCGCAAAGCCAGAACCGGATTTGCCGATTAACTAACTAGCCAAGCGTGCGAACCGGCTGAAAAACAAGCTCAGCCGTGTCCAGGAGTTCGCGCTTTTACGAGACGTATTAAAGAAATTTAAAAAAAAAACGGAAAAAACAACGAAATTATCGTTATCTGCAATTTATCTTGAATAGTTAAATATTTTTGGATCCTCGATTCGTGCACTTTGAACGACTGGACAACCATGTACGTGAGCTCGGGTAATATTTCCGTTATCACATGCACGAGAGCCCGAGGTTAAGCCTTTCACGAGGGAATAAAATCCGAGAACGGCGGCTTTACATTCGTAACTAGGTCCAGCTTGTCGAGCTTAGGACTCTTTATTCATTCTCGCACTGCTCGTATTTTATCAGGTGCGTTGCGATTACACGGACGTCAGGCCGCGACGTTCAGCTTCGATTATGCGAGGCACCGCGGCGTCTCGAGGGTCGATGTGTCTTTATGGAAATTGCAGACCCGATGGAAATGGACGCGACGTTTCTAAAACATTATTTATCTTATAAGTTACTTATCATTTATTTTTTGATAAACTGTTTAAATCTGTTTTTTAATGAATAACTTTGGATTCGAGCTTTTTTCAATTATGATTCGCGCGTTTTATACGACTGTATTAAGAAAAGATATTTGAAAACTTATTTGTGAGATATATAAAATTAATTTTTGTGAATAAACTTTATATTCTACGAATAAATTTTAAAATATTTTTTCCTTTCAATGTGGACAGGCAATGAGAAAAAATACTTGAAAATTTATTTGTGGGATATAAAGTTTATATTTAGAAAATAAAGTTCATTTCCGCAGATAATTTTATATCCTATAAATAAATTTTCAAGTATTTTTTTCTCAATATACGTATCCGCGTGAGCTTACACTGAGAAAAACGCTTGAAAGTACATTTGTGAGATATAAAGTTTATTTCTGTGAAACAAACTTTATTTCTGTGAATATCCTACAAATAAATGTACTTATTTTTCAGTGCGGACAACTATTTAAAATATTTGAAAATTTATTAGTGGGATATAAAGTTTATTTGTGTGAAATATAAAATTTATTTCTGCGAGTAAATATCTCACAAATAAGTTCTTAAGTATCCTTTTTTCAATGTAGGTAATATATCGAATGAGAAGGATCATTTAGCCCGTGCCGTCAGCTCCGTTATGCATGCCACTTTGCGAAAAGACGTAATTCTGCATCTCGATCGAATCTCGTCTGAAACGTTACTCGTGCCATTAGCCTCGCTCCGGTCGCGAGACCAGCTAATGTCGCGAGACATTTACCAAGATTTCTGATGATGCATTGATCGCCTGACCGATCGGATTATCTCAACACTCTGTGTGAACGCGCACACGATTAAATCGCCTGACGATAACTGAGTCGACTACTCGCCTGCCAGCCGGTGACCGGTCCTACTACTCGTTACCGCCGCTACGATCTGCCCGCGACTACGAATTCTCATCATCACGAGCCCCGTGTTTCGAATTCATGACGAATGGCCGTCGTCCGGATGCGTGAAAAATTAACGACCGGAATGCGGGATAACTGTTTTACGCCGGATGTTGTATTCCCTTCGCCGTCGGCGGCGATACCCGGCCATTAGATTGGTGGAACAGCACTTCGTTCACGAACAAATGAAACACCGATCTCCTCGCGTTCAATTAATAATATTTGATAATCATAAAGCAGAAATCGTTTAAAATTAAAAAAATAATTAAAATGTTTAATTAAAAAAG